ATACAGGGAAGGTCCCTGATATTTTGATGAAGAAGAAGCCAAATCGTTCCTTGGCCAATTTCTAAATTTGAAAGTGATCAGGTAATATGACTTTCTTTCTACTCCTTTTTCATTTAAATAAAATGACTACAACCTCAAGATGAAGGTTTTCTGTTATTCATCTTCTGAAAATATCTATTGCAATGATCTTCTCTATTTTCAAAGATGTGGTTCAGATTGTCCTGAGGAGCTCCTGAACACTATCAACATTTAAGAGAAGAAAGTGAACACAGAACTTTGGAATTTGTTGATAGAATAATAGATCCACAATGAATCCTTTAGAGACTGCAAAGGGACTTTTGCCATTACTTTTGGCTGTTGGGCAGGTGGCAGTAGGCCAAGAGTTGCTAAGATAGTAGGTACAAGAGGATTCCTACGTGGTGAAAACCATGTCATTGTATAAAACCAACTTGGAACCTATCTGCCTGCAAGAGTGAGATATGATTAGCTATACACAGTGGTTTTGAAACTTTTCTGAGCAATTGTGTGATGGAAACAGAAGTAAGGTTATTCTGGTTGAGTTGAGCCCCAGCTCACATAAGCCCCAACGTGTGTAGAGTCACGAGAACAAGCCACTAGTCTAACAAGTCAGAAAATCACACCAACCCAATTCCTTACTAGTTTCCAGATCCTGGATAATGTTAGTGATTTTGAACCCACATATGTGTGCACACCCACATGAATTCCTACCTTGCAGGGTTATTGTGAAGGTAAGTAATCAGGCGTATAAATCGCTTAGCTCAGTACCTTGCCTGTAGGCCGATACTCAATCAATTGCATCTACTGTCCATCCTGCTACTCATAAATAATACTATTTACAGAGCCCTAATCATCTTCTAGGCTTGGCCTAACTGGCACTTTATGCATTACCTCTTTTGACTTATAGACAATGACCTTGAGGCCGAAAGAGTTAGTTTATTCAATATATATAATTAGTAGTGAAATTGGATTTAAGCCCAAGGCCTGAATTTAATGCTGGATCTCAGTTGCTTCTTAATAATAGCAAATTTCAGGACTCAGTGTGCACCTTTGTACATTCTCTCCTCTCTTAGCTCTTCCTCTTATTTGTTCCTCTGGGGCAACAGAAGGAACATATTAGTTACAGTTGGCATTTATTGTGCTAGCCAGTGTTCTTCAGAATAGAACCAACTGGCGATAAGAAATATATTATATCAACCATGAAAGCAAGTGATGGAAATCAGTCTAAGACAAAGGCCTGGGAACTGGGGGAAGAATTTGAAAGCAGCGCTGGCAATCAGTCCATTATGCATCAAAGACAGCAAAAGTTCTCAGTGGGAGGAACAGCCTTTGTACATCCTGGTTCCCCTTTGTGCTCGTTGTTGAGAGTTAGAAAAAGAAACCAGGGAATGCCACCGAATATTTAGAGATCTTTGGGGATTCCACATGCCATTCATTATTGGAAAGCAATGGGTCTCCTTTGCTTCCTCTATCACATATGTAGTCAACTGCCTGATTGTCATAACCATCCATAAACAAATTCCATTTTAAGATCCAAACTTAGTTTGTAGTACAACCTAAAATAGTGCTTCTTCTGTAGTCAGATCATTATTTTTCACTGTCTCTTGAGACTGCTAATTTATGCCTGTCTCACTCAGCAGGCATTTGCCTGGTATGTACCTTCTTGGTGTGTGAGATACTTTGCTCACAGAGAACTTTTCAACAGAAGGCATAATAATTACATCTGGAATTTATTGAGTTCTTGAACTGTACACTCATGGTAATAGCCATTATACTCTAAGCACTTACTATGTGATGGCAGGAGTTAAGCACTGTACCTGATTTACTGCATTTATTCTGTCCAACAACTCTGTATTGTTTTTTTATCCTTATTTTACACAGAAAAAAGCCAGATTAAAGAGAGAACTTGTCCAACATCACAAGTGGTAAAGAAGGGGGACTATACTTTCATCTTGATAGTCTGTCTTAAATACATGTTAGAAGATGCACCACCTCCCTAAGTAGTTTACAGTTTAGTTGAGAAGATATGACAGATAATGGCAATGCAAGGTAGTAGGTTATAGGTATCCTACTAAGGGTGCAATGTGATATAGAAGTTCCAAAAAATAATGTTCCCTTCAGCCAAAGATCATCAAAGATTACCTAGGGATGGGGTTTGGCCTCTATCAGCAGAGGATTGGTTCCAAGATTCTTGCATGGATGCTCATCCTCTTTATCAAATGGTGTAGTATTACATGAAACCTATACATATCCTCCTGCATACTTTAAATCATCTCTAGATTACTTAATATAATGCAAATGCTGTATAAATACTTGTTATGATGCATTGTTTACAGAATAATGGCAAGAAAAAAGTCTGTACATGTTCAGTACAGAAGCAATTTTTTCTGAATATATTTGATCTGTGACTGGTTGAATCCATGGTTGCAGAACCTATGGATATGGAGATCAACTGTACTTTAAGCAGATTAGCAAAGAGGAACAGGAACTTATGAGGTGGTTTAGGAGAACCATTTAAGACTCATATGAGGGTAGAGTAAGATAAGAGACTGTAAAGTAGATGACTTCTAGATTAGGGAGGGTGGAGCGAGCTTTTCCTGTTCATTCAATAGGTGTTATGGGAAAGAAGCAGAGAGAAACCACAAGCAAGCCCAAAGTCTGGTGGAAAAGTGGAAAAAGGAATTTAAAGGTCTGAACCATATAAAGAATTTAAGAAGCTCAGAAAGGGAAGTAAGTTGATGAGTACTAGTGAAATTATGTCCAGAGCCAGTTTGGGACTGGAAGTTGAGGCATGATGTAGGAGCCAAACGAAGGATGTGGCATAGGGAAATGAGACAATGGGAGATAAGGAGAGGTACATAATAATTCAGGGCACCAAGGAATTTTGGTGGCAGATTGGTCTGGGGAATGAGATGCTATTATTTCTAATTTCCTGGGAGATCCTAAAGTATTTCCTGGGTACTCACCCTGGGCCAGGGAGATATGACCTAAGTGGTGCCTGAGGAAGACAAGTTTGGCAAAGGCCAGTGCAGGTCAGATAAAGTGAAATTAGAGGGATGTAGGAGACACCTGTGTTGTGGGCTCACCAGTTAATTGGTTCTGAAGGGACTTCTGGAAACCACACTGTGGCAGAAAACTCAGCAATGACATGGTGACTAATTCTGAGGTAATGGTGAAGGACAGAAAGGAACAAGGTCTAGTAACCGAGTATGGGTAACAAGTAAGTAGAAAATTCTGGAGTGGGATTCCATAGACAGCTAGAGACTGGGACATAGATGCCTGTGGAGTGCATGTGTATATTGAGGAAGGGAGTACATGGAGAGGAAAAAGAAGAGAATTAAGGAGAGAATGGAGATTTACACATTCTGAGGAACTTCAAGTCAATGGAGGAAACAGTTGATGGTCACAGGGGAAGCAGAGCCCTGCTAAAGTCACGAAGCTTCCAAAGGCAAGGAGGATGAAGAGTAAAAAGAGGCTATGAGTTTGGTCCTAGTAGTGGACAGTTTTAAAAGAAGATCATCTTCTGTTCCTTGCTAGGGAGTGACCTCTGCTTGCCCATCCTCTTGTACAACTTCCCTAAAGGCATCCTTTTCCATGATGTCTTTTCTGACTCCCATTCTTCATCTATTCCCCATGCTGTAGCGACAGCAATTTTGGCCTTTGTGCACACCTTTGTGTATGTTCACTGGGTTGGGAGCCTCTCAGTTACCACAACTTGACAGTTTTTGCTTCTCACCTGAAGGACAGCAGCGACAGCCTCCTAAACTGGGAGTTCTGCCTCACTGAAGCCCCAGTGGTGACCTCTCCCTAAGGTACCCAGTTGATTTTAAAACTAGATTACATCATATAACTGCCCTTTCTAAAACTTGCAATGGCTTTCCAACACACTTGGGAGAAAAATATGGGCCTTTAGACCAGGGTGGGTCATCTCACTACTCAGACCTCCATGACCTCACTTCCTCCACCCCCTCAGTCACTGAACTCAACCACATGACCTGTGAACTTTCCATTCTTCCGGCTTTCCCTGTTTTTGCTCCCAGAGTTTCCCATGGCTTCCTCTTCCTCACTATTCAGGTCTTCCAGAAGTAGCTCCACCTTAGCAAGTTCTTTCCCAAGCAGCCCAACTAACACAGAACACTCCCTGCCTGCTGTACCTCTTTCTGCAATATCACACACTGGCTTCTCTACTACACTGCCAGCATTGAAAAATTTGTTTGTTTGTTTTTTTTCTCACTCTTCATCCAACTCTTTTATTTATTTATTTATTTTTTGCAGTACTGGTGCTTGAACTTAGGGCCTACACATTGAGCCACTCCACCATCCCTGTTTTTGTGAACAGTTTTTCAAGATAGGGTTTTGCAAACTATTTGCCCAGGCTGGGTTTGAACCACAATCCTCCTGACTAGCTAGGATTACAGGGGTGAGCCACTGACACCCGGCTTCATCCAACTGTTGATGAGGAGACATTCTGTCTGCCTGTCTCACAGCTGCCCCCAGAACAAGCAGGGTCTCTGGCAAACAGTAGGTGCTTCATTGGCACTCCTGGTTAACCCACTTGGGTCTTGTGGCCAGTCTGCTACCTCAGACCTGGATCTTCTTTCCCTCATCTGTTGTCACGTCCCCAGCCAGACCTTCTTGACCCCTGATCTGAATCAGACTCCCCACACTGTTCTTGTTCATAAAATCTGGTCATTTTCTCCAAACCTGTTTCTTGGTTTTAGCAGGACAGAAACCATGTATTATTTGGCCACTTTCACATACCCCGTGTCAGATATATACTATGTGGTAAATTATACTAATAGTCCATGAGGATCAATATTCTGAGTTCCACAAAGTTTAATGATAGAGTAGAATAGAAAAAAAAATAGCTGATCAAAGAGTTTGTTAGGACACATAATCTCCTTGCAGACTATTTAGATTTCTTTGCTACAGCTGTTCTGGGCTCTTCCGTTTTGCACAGAGGTCATCAAACCCACCATGGTCTAGAGGACATTTGCATCCTTCTCTCCAGCAGAACAACTTGAAGAAAGGTCTGGACTTGACTCTGCCCAAGCTGGTGACTGGGGAGAGATCCTGGTGCTGGTTGCCGTCATGAGGGAAGGTGGAACAAAGACAGCCATCTGGGTCTCTCCTGAGCAGACAGCCTGTTGGTCACTGTCAGGAGGAAAGACAGGCTCAGGGACCATGGCAGGGTGGGTTTGAGCATGTGACTTTTGGCCATTTTTTCCTTCTGTCCAGTCACAGTGTTGCAGATTAATACGATGTTCCTCTGGCTCTCCTGTGAAAAGCTCTAGCTTCTGAGAGGAAAACAAAGACAGAAAAGAGTGGATGACATGTCATATTTATATATAACAGCTACCTTTGGCTTGGGAGAAAGGCATTTATCAGATGCAAATTTTCTAGAAATGGCTCTTTGGTTCAGTAGCAGATTATTGTAGCAATTTAGCTTAGCTTGGTTCAAAAGCTAAGATTCAGCATGCCTGGGATTCTGGTTCTCACTTGGGAAATGGGCAATACCACTTCTTTCTTATTTATGGGCTAGGGGAAAGCTTACAGGGCAGCTAGAGGAACTGAGGTCTAATCCCGAATCACCATCAGTTAGCTCTGAATGAGCATAAGCAAACCAAAGTACTTATTTTGTACCTAAAATGTACATGTGGATCATAACCCTAGAATTTGAAATCATTGCACAATGAGGTTTCTCATTTAATGCTCCCCCCATGGTAGGCTGGATAGAGTCAAACCCTGCACCCTATTTTCCCCATACCAATAGGATTCCTTGTCTGATTTGCCGAGCCCGGTCTCCTAACTGAAACTCCAGCTCAGCCACCTGCTGCCGTAGGGCCTCACGTAAAATTTGGAGCTGTTTGGCCTCTTCCCTGCAGGTAAATGACAGAAAAGAAACACATTTAACAATCAGCCTAGGCAGAGTCTTCTGCTGTCATCTCACAGTCTAGGTCTTGTCTTTGAAATTTCTTAAACAAGAATGACACCTTCATTATTTAATTCAGTTGCAGACATAGACCTATTACTAGGATAGTTGCTTTCCTCGTTTTTCTCTCTTTTTCTTTTCTGCACTGCTGGGGATTGAACCCAGGCCTTGTACATGCTAAGCAAGTGTGTTACCACTGAACTACATCCTCAGCCTGCCTTAAAAAAAATTCTATTGCGGTACAGTTCATTTGTCATATTTACCTATTTTAAGACTCAATCAACGATTCAATTTATCAGTTTGTGTAACTATCACCATCATCCAGCTCTAGAACACAGCTACCTACTCAATAAGAATCTTTCTTGACCCTTTGCAGCTAAACCCTGGTCCCACCCTCTAGTCCCTGGCAATAAACAATGCATCCACTTTTGGGACATATTTTCAATCCATGAGAAAATAATGCAGATTTTCAAAACGGTAATAACCCTCAGCATTTGCATTTGCATGCATGAACCCTAATCTCATTGATTTGACATCCTGCTAGCAATCTGCTCTCTTCTGACCTTCTCAAATAGTCCTGGCCTGAAAGAATGAGTTTCCATCTAGCGAATGACTCTCACTGGTTCCCACCAAGCTAGCAAAAATAAAACCATGAAAGCAAGGAAAGAGCACGTTGATTTCTCAGTTGCCCTGCTCCAAGGTGCTCATCAGGCCTGTCCTGCCCTGATTACCTTTCCTTGCTTCAGGTGTATGGGCTGATACTTACTTTTATGGCTACCTTAGACAATTACCTTTCCTCCTCTGACATGTTCCTGGAAAAGAGTGCCTGGTGTCCTCCAAGGTATTGTCCAATTTCCTCTAAATGCTCCCGGAAACTCTGGCAGACCGTCCTCATTGTTTCCATCTCATACAGTGTGCACTAAAAACAACCAGAAAGAACTGAGAAGGCGCTTCTTTCTGATTTGTGGAATTTTTGGGGTCTGCCTTCGGATTTGGGGTCACATGTTTGCAAAGAGTGCTAATATTATGGGGTGGGGAGTAAAAGGAGACCTAGCCTTTGACTTCTGGAAGCAATTAATTGGAAGGCAATCCTCATGGAAGGGTGGAATCCTAGCTTCAACACCTGTCAGCTGGTTTAAGGGCATTTACACTGACCAACTTTTGTAATTTTTTACTTCTCTGACTCCACTGATCTGCTGCTCATCCCTCTTCCTCATTCTTTCTTTAAAACATCCACATTATCTCTGCACAAATTGGAATGGAGCTCAGCTTTCCCTTACTATCAGTACTTACTGAATAAAACCTGTTTTACTGTATTAACTAAGGTCTGCTTTGCATCTGTGACACACCCAGGCCCAGTCCCTCTGTGAGGCACCCTGATGTTTTACTTTGTTCTTAACAGCTATTCACCTTGATTTGCAGCCTAGGTTGGATCATGCTTTGAACAGACCCGTGGCCCAGAACCCAGGATTACTACTGATCTAATGACTTTAAGTGATAATAATGCTTTTTGGACTCTAAGCCTGTTTCTCCCAAATCAGTGTGGCAAAGGCTGCTAGCTGCCTGCTTGCCATCTTTCTCCCCTTTCTTCTTATTAACACCACTCTAACATCTTAGGGGAAGCAATGTGTCTCGCTAAAAAACTACATTTCCCAGCATCCCTTGCTGGGAAAAGGATAGAAGCAGAGAGCATAGTTTGAGTTTTGGAGGAGCTCTTTCAGGGAAACTAAATGAGCTGACAGGCCCATTTAACTTTCTTCCTCCTTTCATGGAGACTAATTAGCTAGGTTCATTCCTCCACCCTGTTTCTAGGAAGTTTAAAATTTCTTATCCTTTCTCCCAAAACCATGTGGCTAAGATCCTGGCAGCCTGATGACTAGTTTTACCAGGATTACCATATTGGTAATACTTTCCTAAGAGTGATATTTTAATATTGAAAACTCTCCTTTATTTTGCTTTGCCAGTTAAGTTTTGACTTTATTCTCTAAGTTTTATACTGAATAATGTATTCTACACTGTAAATGTCTCCAATTAATTTTAGACTAAGTATGAGGGAATCTGAGCCAGCCAGGGAGTCTTTGAAACATTACTGGGTTTGGCAAGAATGCTTGAAAGATTATAGCTCCTAAAACAAAAGATCTTAGAGACCATGAGGGCATCTTTAATAGGTAAGTATTCTCACACAGAATGGTTAATGACCTTGTCTATGTCCAAAATGGCAGTCAGATTTCAAATCCAAGTCTTCTGGTTAATCTCTTTTCTTCCTAATACCTAACTGAGTCATAGTCAGCTGGAGAAATTATCTGTTCCTTAGAAAGGGAGCTGATTAAATGGTTCAAGGAAATTCCTGTAAGGTAACCCAGACTGGCCAGGTGGTTCAAATTCACTTCCAAGTTCTAGGGACTGTGAGGCCTGTGGAAATATGATGCTAAAGTAGCCTGAACGTCATAAACCTTGGATTTTGTACTTCATCTATACATGGTGGGGTGATCTTTTGTGATGGAAGGTATAGAGGTGGGAAGCTTGGACTTGGAATAACTGTTCATGCTTTCAGAAGAAACTGGTGTTAAAGATTCTGAAACACTGCCATCTTCTGGTCATTTGGAACACTAAAATTAGATTCAAAGAGGTAAAGAGAGTTTCAGAATAAAGGAAACTATGCAAGGGGGGGGAAAAAGAATGGGTTTGAGCTTTTTTATCCCACATGAAGTCTGGGATAAACACAAATAGAACACAAGGTCTACCCTACTTACTAAATCCATTAAAACAGACCTCACCTTCAACAGTCAGAGTGACAATACCAAAACCAGTGAACTTTCACTTCTGAATTGGCTCAGATTAACTTTTTAAAATTTGTGTACTTTCTTTATTTTTAAGACTAAATCATAAGCATTATAGAAGAATGTTCAAATATTCAGAAATTATTTCTGATATTTTCTGGAAAGATTTTTGCTTCTGAATTACAACATCTAATGACTACATTATTCTGAAGAATTAAAATATAAAATGAATAATAACAAATAATAATTAATAAACACATTATTATGAAAAATTCTCTTATGTATAACATTTAATCACACCAACAAACCACTATTTTTAGATAACCTACAAGACCAAAAAAATGGCCATGTATTTCTTGGTAATATTATATACCATTGGGTAAGTGAGGGGTGAGATGGAGACATTTTTCTGACTCAAATGTTTTATCTGAAATTGCAACATCTGTTCAGAACTGTCTGCCTATAATCTTCATTTGATCTATGTCCTATTTTCTAGTTATGTTTTTCACAAATATTTTTCCTAACTCTAGTTAGCACATAGCATTTTGCTTAAAGCCATTTTTCCCCCTAGAATATTTTTTGGGCTTTAGAAAGACAGGCTCACCACAGCAGATGTTGCTGCATGTGCTACCCTACTGCTCTTTGTTCTTTTAGCTTTTTTTTTTTTGAAATAGCCCCTGCTCACAAAGCAATGCAGTCCCTTATTTACATTTGCTTTCCTGTGCATGTGTGTGTATATGCATGTGTGTATACCTGCATAGAGTACAAATATGTATGTGTATATGTGTGTATGTTTCCATTGAAGGTATACTTCTGGTTCCTTGAATCTAAATAAAGAGGAACACATTTCATCTAGTAAAACCCTCCCTAGTATCTGTTTCAGCAATTGTATAATGACATCAATTTGATGTAAAAGCAAATTTGCAAATTCGCATAATTGCAAATTGTAAGAGGAGAGAAGGATAAGGCAATACGAGGCAATGTATCTTAAGCCATGGGATCATGGCCTTCACACCCATTCGAACTCCTACTTGTCTAAAACCCACATGCAAGTCTGAGGATAGCCGCTGTGCACAATGGGCCACAAAGCCTCTCTATTTTTTGTGGAAGTGCTATATATCATAGTGTCAAACCAGGAAGGGCATTTTTTTTCTAGATGCCAAATTGTTCCAGACAACTGGGACTATGCATGTCAGGTATGGGAATATGTATGTCTTGACATGAAGTTGGACATTGAAATTCAGTGTTATCCCTAGAGCTGACCCAGGTTTAGTTTCTATCCCTATTCTAAGCAACATCCTTACCTTGTGTCTGAATCTGGGTCTCGATGCCTGAGTTTCCCCAAGGCAGTCTCTTGTTCTCCCCCATATACCTGTCTTGCAAAAGCTACAATCCTCCTACCTGCTCATATGTTCTGAGGTGCCGAAGCCCACTTGCTATTTCAATCCTCAGAACAATGTGCCTACAAATTTCTAAGGACAACCCCAGTACTTCATATACCCCGTGCCCTTCATAGTAATGGTCTGATGAGACTGTTCAGTAGATCTGCTGTACTCTCCACATGCCACGGTTTGCCTGATGGAGTAGACATCCTCTAATGGTTAGGACCACTGCTTATGTGTTCAAGACTCTGGTACCTCCTTTGTATTAAGTTATCACAGGTACCCCAAACATGTCAAATAACCTCCTTAAGCAGATTATGTTTCATACTGGGAGACTGTGTTACCCTTTTTTCTTTTTGGACTTTTGGTCACATTGCTGAATGAATGATAGTCTAATTGAGTTCAATATACAACTGTTGCCATAGATGCCTTAATAATACTAAATGATAACTAAGTGATAGTGCCTAAATACAATTTGGTGCAATAGATTTCTAGCTTTTCAGTCTATTGATACATGCTCATTATTTTCCTCTTAATACAATCAATAACTTATTTATATTGATTTTAAGGTTAGCTGTGAACAGAAACTAGATAGTATCTTAGGGACTAAATATCTGTAGAAAATTATACTAAAGGAATGGCCTTGAGCATCTCTAGACCATTTATTCTGATGTCTTTAAAACAATTTGTATACTTTTTAAACAAATGTAAAGCTAAAATGTGATCAAATTTATCTATCTGTGTAAAGCTTAGCTTAAACGTACATTAGGGAAGGTTAAATGACACAATGTAAATAAAATGGTTAGCAGAGGCACTCAGTAGGTATCTGTGGAGTTGAATAATGGCAAGTAACCCAGCAGGCACTAAACTGCAGGCACTCAGTATGTCCAAGTGCTCTGCCCTCCCTGAGCAGTTGCAATCCTGTATTATCTGTGTCTCACCCAACTCTCTGCACATGTAGTTTCATGTGTAATAGTCTCAATTTTTTAATCAATGACTAGCCTTGAAGGCCTAGATTATTTCTCACCTTGACAACTGCTAAAGAGGGGGCCCTAGAAGGACTCATTGAATACTTGTTGACTAATCAAGGTCAAAGATGGTTGAGTTTGTTCAGTTCTCAGTAACCCCAATGTTTACTTTTATTTTTTTATTGTTTTATTTTTCATATGTGCATACAAGGCTTGGGTCATTTCTCCCTACCTTTAAACAAGCCTAACAAAGGCAGACACAAAGTATCTCTATTGGACAGAAGAAGCTCTAGATTGAGTACCTGAGCAATGATAAATCAGTAATATAATTGACGATCAGAGTAACACCAAGTTAATTGATATCATTTAGAGCTCTCTTTGTGCCAGACACTGTGTTGAGTATCTGGTGAGCTGAGTGCTTTATAAATTTGTTTTGTTTAATTCTAAGATGATTCTATGTCTGTGGAATGAATTAATTGTCTCCCCATTTTACAGTACAGAGATATTAAATGGCCCAGGTAAGATTATATAGGTAAATTTAAGACCCCGAACTTCTCAGCTGTAATGAAGAGAAATGAGACAGATATGTTAATGTTTATAACCTTGGGTATATAAATTTATTGTTTCATGCCTTAAGTTTTTCTAAGAACTAATAGTAAAATTTGCTTCAAAAGGTGGTGAGTTAGAAGCATCAATTAAGAAATCTGGGAGACCTCCTATAAACACTAAAGTACTGACTCATGATTCAAAATAGGAGGGTATACTTTGAGATCACACCATCACAAAGGAAGGCTGAACACTACCCCTGAGGCTAGTAGTATAGTTAGTACATCTATCTTTATAGAGGAAACACTTACAGAACATAGCTCCCTCATGATGGTGTCTTGAAGGACTTTCAAGGTCTTCATGAACTGGGCTTCCAGATGCTCTGCATGTGACCACAGGCAATGCCTGAAGGCTGAAGAAGCAGGGCTCAGACTTTGTGCCTCCCCATGGCAGTGGGCATGGTCATGACAGTAGCTGCAGGAATGGGCAGGCATGGTATGGCAGGTGCATGTTGGGTAAGTACAAGAGAAACCTGTATCCAGAGAGACTGATTTGGTGAGAGGCCGGGGTCCACGAGTGGAGGCCTGGTAACATGGGGATGAACAGTAGTAATGCTGAGGCTTAGGTTCACATGTCTGAACAGAAACATCACTGAGCTGTCTTGCTTCTGTGTCCAGTCTCTGTCCTGTTACAGTAATAGGGTCACACAGAGTGCATTCCAAAGATGCTCCTTTACAGTCAGTCCCCAAGATCACAGAACTCTGAGGAGCTGACACCAGATTGGAGGACATCTGGGTTGTCACCGACCTGCAGCTGCCAGTGTTTGAGTCAGTCAGAGCATCTCCAGGCAGTTTATCAAGGTGGGGAATGAACTTATCAGATGTTTGAACAAGGTCAACTGTATAGGGCATAAATTCTCTGTGCTTGGGAATATACTCTGGTGGCCTCTTTTGTATCAGGAAGGTGTCTTTGGTGTCAGGACAGAGCCTGCTGTTTTCCTCTGCTCCTGGGACCTCAGAATCCACAGAAGAGAACTTGTCTTGAGTGGGATCCCTCCCAGGCAACCTTCGAGATTCATTGTAATGCCTTTTCATGAGTAACTTGCCAGCTCCCTCAGGCCTCAGGTTCTTTTTTTCTGTGACATTGATTACCATGAGCCCCATAGGGCCATGATATGTGGAAGCAACCATGGTTCCATCACCCTCATATTGAGCATCTTCTCCTAGGTGTTCATATCCAGTGGTGGTCTTGGGAAAGGACATATCTGTGGTCAACATCTTTGGTGATCCTTCTGTGATCCCAAGATGAGGCTCTTCCTTTACCACCGAAGCTGAGACCTTTTCTTCCAAGACACTCCAGTCTTGGCTGGAAAGAGATGTGCTCACCATGCTTTTGGAATCGGAGCCATCTGACTCTTGCTGACAGTCCTGGGATGATACTGAGCTATGGCTCTGATCTCTTGATTTTCTACCTCCATTCTCTGCAGGACTCTGGCTGCTTGATAAGAAGTCATCTTCAGGAGAAACAGAGACAGAGGGAAATGAGTCAGGGAGTGGAGATGAGGGACAGTAAGTGTAAGTACCATAACCATTAACTCATAAGTCAGGAGATAAAGGTTACAAACTTGGGTTTTATATCAGGTTACTACTTCACCTAGTAGTTTTCTCTACCAAGATCAGATTCCTTGTTTAGAAAAATCAAAAGGAAATAAAGGAAGAAGGAAGGCTGAGTGTTCTGACACCTGTCCACTATGATTCCTTCATGTTCTGCCTCTTGAGTGTATGTGGCATATGCTTTCAAATCTTTCCCATTGTGATAGGCACTTTAAGCTTGTCCATCCTTCTGGGTTAGCTGGGAGTGAGGCTAAGGTGTGGGGTTGATTGGTAGGGCTGCTGTGGAACTTGTGGGGAGAGCTTGGGGGCCCTGTTCCAACCCCTTCTACCTGGAGGGGTAGAGGCTCCTGTGGCTCCTCCAGAAACCCACTGCTGTCTGATTGACAGCTGTTGGCTCTGTTCATCTTGGTGCCTGGGGAAAGAAAGAGACCTTGAGATTAGTAAAGTGGAAATATGCTGCCAACAGGACTGTGCCTGACATGGCAGAGCACCTCCGTAAGTGCTAAGTATAAATGAATGAGGGAATTCCAAGGACTTCTTTTTCTTAATTGTCAGGAGTTTATGTTAAACTGTATCACTGGTTTCCTGATACAAAGAGTAAAACCTGGACTAAAGGAAGAGGAACTAATTTTTCTTAAAATGAAATTATGGTATGGTTGTGAATGGAGTCATTTCTAGGGAAGAAAGTCCAGAAGGAAATGCAAATGCCTTAAATACCACACTAATAAAACAATAAAAGACCAAAATTTATATGTGTGCATACATATACATTCTTTTTTCTTTTTACTAAATTTTAGATAAGAACCTTTCTCAAGTTTTAGCTGGACTCTAGTTCTATGACAACATGTCCACATTCATGTAGTTTATGTCTAGCATTGTCACTCCTGACTATTGTTACCATAAGAGACTAGAATGAGCAGAGAAAGAACAAAGTTAAGTGTAAACAGGTGTGACTTGGCCAACATAAGCACTTGAAATTCTAAATATAGCTTTAACTTATTATGTAAAGAGTAAGCTATATTGTTGTGGAGTAAGGGGAACAGATGGCAACTAGAGGTCATTCTGCTAAAGGTTAAACCATGGGATTTTTTTTTCTCTTCTCTAATGAGAAATGCTTCCAATACCATGGTATTGGCTGGAAATACCCTTGGAGCAGACAGGGGTAGGAATGTAGCATCTTTAGAATATAGGAACCAGAGGAAATGTCCTGGCTTGTTCTGAGAGGAAAGACTGGTAGTGGGCTTGGGAAGTGGGTTGAAAAGGCTGGTTGTTGGATATTATGCTTAGGTATCTGGTACCTAAGTGAGAAATAGAGGATTTGTTTTGGCTTAGAGAAATAACAACTAAAATAGAGTCAAAAGGATGATAAAATATCCCAGACATTCTTAGGTATTCCAGGCCCAGTCTTGAAGGATTGTTTCATTAATAGTAGCACTCATCTCCCTGTAGGTCATTCTCCTGCCAATCTTATCTGTCACGTGTCTGAGCAAGTGGAGACAGTCGCAGAGATAGTTCACCAGCCCATATCCAAGCTACCTCACTCCAAAGACAAAGTATGGAGAAATAGGCTTAACTTTCTAGAATCAAGAAGTAAAAACCTCATATTCTGCTGGGTGTGGTGGTTCACTTCTGTAATCCTAGCTACTTGAGGGGATGAGATCAGGAGAATCATTGTTCAAGACATGTCCAGGCAAAAATTTTGCCAGATCCCATCTCTACCAATAGCTGGGTGCAGTGGCATGAGCCTGTCATCCCAGCTATGGTGGAAAGCATAAGTAGGAAAATTATGGTCCATTCCAGCCTGGGCAAAAAGCAAGATTCTATCTCCAAAATAACCAGAGTTAAAAGGGCTGGAGTTATGGCTCAAGCAGTAGAGCACCTGCCTAGTAAGTGTGACGTTCTGAGTTCAAGCCCTAGTAAAACAAATAAACAAACAAACAAAAAAACCCTCATATTCTTCAATTCATCCCCAAAAAACTAAAAGTTACAAATCAAGAGTCATAAAGTTGTAATCGGTAATTCTAAGAGAGATTGACGAACTAAGAGCGAAATTATGAAATAACAATGTCTTTGACTAAGCCATTATTTTTTCTTGCATCATTAAGGATAAAATATGGAAAATATTTACCAATGGTAGACCTAAATGAGACTTATGCTTTTGGGAAGCTGGAGTAAGAGGCACTAGACTTTTCTTCTTACCTGAAACAGCCAAAAATTGGACAAAGTATATAGAAAATGGCTTTCAAGGCAATGGACTGCTGGCAATTAAGACAGCAGTTCCTGAGAGATGGGCACAAACAATGTGAGTCCCGTGATTATCCAGGTTTCTGTCTCGAGTTTCCAGCTATGGTTTAGGAACAGGAAACTCAGGCAGAGGCTGGAAGATTCCTTCAATTAAGGACATAGAACTAAAAAACTGGGAACACTGTGTCAGCTGTAGTTCATAGGGCAGAGTAAGAGGGAGAAAGGAGCTGTGTGGAGAGAGCTCTCAGGGTCCCCCTAGGGTAATAGGCTGAGTACTGATGAGCTCCTGTATGTGAGAAAATACTAAAGGCCAGGGAAAGAAATGCTCAAGAGGATTAAAAGAACCAGTGCCAACGTTCACCCAGGACTCAGGACAGGGCAGACTCCCAGCAGCCATATTGGACAACCTCATAACTCACATGACATGAGAAGTGGGTAGAACACTCAGAAGGTGAACCCTGGTCTGATCTCACTTAACTTGTCTTAAAAACAAGACTGAAAGGATCAAACTTTTTTCAAGTAACTCAATAATGTCCCAGACCTAAACTCGAGAATATTTATAGGAATACAATAATAATTAGCATATTGGAAGTTGAATCTACACCATTCAGCATCTAATAAAAGACACTGAGCTTGTAAAGAAATGGGAAGATGGAACCACTATCCAAAATGTAGTGTTGGGTGACCATGGTTACTAAGCCAAAGTGCTTGAGCCTTGGTAGAGGATGGGCAAGATAGACTTTGGAACCTTTGTTTTTCTGTATGTTTTGGTGCAAGATATTGATCTATAAATATGAATATTCCCAGTACATTATTATTATTTCACCACTCCAGATAATCTGAGTCATTACTATTCTGGAGTACAAGCTTTATATGCGATATTTGCTATTCTCTTTCTTACAATGTTCAGACAGAACGATATATCCCAAACACTAGGACAAAATGACTTGCCAGAGCCAGCTTGTTCATGTGCTGGTTGGTCCATAATAATCTGGTCCAAATGGAACTACCCTTGTCTCTGGCACCTGCTGGGTATTGGTCCTAGGCCCCATCCCCTTACCAAAATCCTCACATGCTCAAGTCCCTTATATAAGATGGTGTAATATTTGCATATAACCTACACACAGCTTACTTTAATTACTACTGCTTTAATTAGCCTACTTTAGATTACTTATACTACCTAATACAATGTCAGTGTTAAGTAAACAGTTGGCATATTGTACTGTTTAGGGAAGAAGAACAACAAAAAATCTGTACATGATCAGTACATATGCAATATATTTCTGAATATTTTCCATCCAAGGTTGGGATGTGGATGCAAATCCCTCAAATATGAAGGACCAACCACAAACAACTACAAACACAAAGGGTCATTAGAAGGTAGAAAGAGTGATTTCCTTTAAAAGGTTTACATTTTTGATGTAACCCATACCTTTAAATGACTGTACTTGTGTAAAGTACAAACAAATTTCTGAAACTCATTTAAGTGAATTTGTAAAATGACCAGACTTTGAGATCCTCACTTTAGTGTGGGATCAAATGATAGCACTGGGCATAGTTCTCTCAGGAGTAAAGGATTTTTTTTCTTGTGTTTGTTTTAGAAGTGAAATATACACATCTGAATCATTCTGAGAGATTCTTCCAAGTAAAATACAGACAATTTATTTACAGCTGAATTAGTTTCTTCAGGAGGCTAAAAAATCTTTTCTCTAAAGCACCTCTTCAGCAACTAGACTATCAACATCTATATGTTGGGTTTCCAAATTCTGAATATTCCCTTAGGATTGTTGGAATTAAAAGAGACAAAGTATGAGTAATCACCTAGACCAGGCTAGCTATGATGGATTATTAAACAAATAGATACAAATGTGTATTGTTTACAATCCCCCCACATGTACCCTCATGCTAACGTGTAGCACACAGGAAGGCATGACATTGGGAAGACAACATGGCAACCTGATAGAAGTGATACCAGCACAGCAGACCAATTCCACCCAGTTGCTGAAGCTAGCCAGACCAAGACAGGGAAACCCGTGCAGGCCCTGACTCTGGTGGAACTTTCCCCTGATGCTTACCATTCCTAAAGAGCCACAGCACTCCCTTACATTGCTAAGTTGGGCCCTTGACTCCCACCTTGCTCCCCTTGGTCTGTCTATCTAGGCCTTATCACCAAACCTTCCACCACCGGCTAGCCCCTGTTCCAAACAAATTAGATAAATGGAACTCTTCACCAACAACAACTCACACCACAATTTTGCCATGTTCCTGTCAACTACTGACTCCCCTACCCTGTCTATCCAACTCAGAGAGGCTAACTTCTCTATGGTGTATGTTACTGAAATCCCATTAGGTCTTCTAACTGAGTCATTTAAAAGATTTGGAGCCAGATGTACTGGGTTCTGATTCTAACTCTCCCATTTACAAGATTACCCTCTCTGAATCTGTTTCCACATGGGGAAAGGAATGAATATGGCGATACTATGTTACTTGTGGGGTTACGATCAGGAAAATAGCCAATAATATATACACGAAGACTTTATGCACCCATGAACGATTATATAATTATAGGTCTTCCCCATGGAACAGCACTGTTTGTAAAAACTATAAGTCAGTCACTATTGAGACTATTGAGTATCATTGTTCATCATGGTGATTAGTATTAATATTCACTAGAAATTAACTTTTTCGGTGCTCGACTATATCAATTCGGTGGCCCTGCCTGGAACAGGACTACTCTACGGTCAAACGTTCCTCCCAGAAAGTCTGTCTGGGAGGAGGCTGCTGCCCCGGGCACTGTGTCTGAACAGGCACCAGATGGCAGCATTTTACCAACCACAGAGCGTGGGAGCCAATGTCTAAAGTATGAAGAGCCAACCTGAAGGGCTGCTTTTCTGGAGTGTGTTTGTAATAACAGCTCCTGAGTTACACAGAATAGTCTGAGTTCAGAGTCTTGGAGGGAAAAATCCTATGGAATTAAAACACAAGTGGAGTAGGGGACAGGAAAAGGGCTCCAGAGATGCTAGGTATGTGGACCTTATACAGAGAATTGTCCCAACTTTAGATGATTTGGGGTTAACCATCTTCCTTAACTGATTTTACTCTACCTAGTGCATTGCCAAGTCTTAATTTCTTCTGTTCTCTAATGGAAGAAAACTCTGTGACAGCTCA